TGTGTCCCAAAACTAACAAATACAAACCTCAATTTCATCTTCTTCATACTGATCTAGTACCTCATAAGCTGACATCAGTGCATTAAGTCCAATTCCACTGATGACATCTTTGCGCAGTAGACCAATCCTGTCCATTAATCTCCCAGATGATGTCATTGTTTCATTACCTTCAAGATATAAACCACACTCACACAATTCAAATATTTACTTTTTTTCCATCAGCATCCTTTTTGAAGAAACAATGGGCATAAGTCAATTTTTATCTATTATTTTCTTCAAGATCCTTTTTAACACACAGCAGTCACATTAAAGATAACAATCTGTGTGTACATATAACTCTTCAATTCTTTTATTATTCATCAAAAAACATACTTGATAAAAATAACATCGAAAATGACAAAAGAACAACATCAACAAGAGACAAAAATACAGTAAAAATAAAAACGGCAAACATTAGATATCACGTCTGCTAAAAGCATGATTAACAAACTTAATAACAGGAAGTAGAATATATGCATCAAATAACCTATCAATTTCCATTAAATAGGGCAGCCTTTCCATTAAATAGTAGCCATGTCAGTTCAGTTTAGTCAACATTTGTGAAACAAGGGGACACTAATATCACATAGGCCAAGATATAATTAAACAAATAAATAAGTATCCAATAATCCATGTAATACTAATGTCTACTCGACATTGGTATTACATCGATTTTAGCATGATTCATGTTCAGTATGTGCTGTTACAAAATATTGTAACATTTAGTATTTGCATGCTATTTTGTTTGTATGAAATAAAAGAAGGCAGGGTCTCAGACTACCATCAACAATCAGCAGATGGTGTTGTGCCATCAAGCACTTGGACAGCATGGACTTGTCGCCGATGGTTGTAGGACTCTCATATGACCAAATGTGCGCTCAGCTTTACAAATATTATTGTTACGAAATGTCATGAAATTGTCAAAGTAAAATAAAAACAGAAGTATATATAAATGCAAGGTTGTTGATAGCAATTATTTCATCCTATACAGCTGATTTGTACAGTTAGGAAGTAAATGCAGCAAACAAATGCAGCAAACTTTCGTTCTAAAAGAAATATGTAAAATACTAGCATAATGTGGGACATTGTATTTAGCAAAATGCACAGAAAATAACTTCTAAAATTCAGCAAGAGTTCCCTTACCAATTCCCTTAGGAGCTTTGGGAGCAGCAGCGGGAATGGGAATATCCATTGTAAAGTCAAGGTTGTCAGAGGGAGTTGGGAGTGAAACGCCACCATCTGGTGAATCTCTGTCATCGACATCCTGATCTCCAAGGTTTAGTGTGCATTCCAGTAGATTAGACATCTTTTTAATTTCCTTATCCTCTCTGGCATTAAATGAAAAGAATTATAAAATCATTGAAATCAATCATTTCCATTTGACAGTAGTCATTTAAAACTCAGATAAAATGATTAACACTTTGGCTTATTAGTTATAAACAGTATTAACCCTTGTACATGTCTTTATAAAAGATCTTTATTTTATGTCTTTTGGCAGTAATAGATTTTAAAAATATGAAAAACAATGTACTAGTATACATGCAGAATTTCACACTAATTGCATGAATAAAATGTTGGAAATAACTAAAAATAAAACGTTATTTATGTGATGGATCGGAAAAGTTTTCCGTTATTTCTTTTTGTTTTTCTTTATCTTTATTGGTGGCGCATTGCATTGCTATTGCTTTTGTTTTATTGGTATTCGCGTGTACATTTGCATACCAGGTGGGGAATATAATGCATTGGCTGCGTGAGCGTTGTATCGACAGATGGTTTTTGGTTTATGTCGGAGTAAGACGTTGTTTTTTGTTAAGATGAATCTTGTCTGATACTATCGATACTGTGAGTAACTTGATATATTCTTAATAAGTGTGCGATTATATACAGTAATATTGTTGATTATAATGATTGTTGCTAGTTAAATTGATATAATTATATATTTAATTTTTAATTAATAATGGTACTGTTAAGTAATACATGCCTAGTTGGTATTCTGGTCTTGCTTATCAGAATAGGCCTACAGACGGAATCTACTGTTAAAAATCGGTACAATGTATGCGTTTACCAATGATTTAATTAATCTTTGTTTTAATACGTCTAGTTTCGTCCTGTGGTGACGTATGGTATTAAGAGTGTTTGCTATGCCATGAAGTTAGTTCTATGAATTTGGTGTTACTGATCCAGGTATTGAGCTCGTTACTCTAATAATTGTTATTCTATATATATATATATATATACTATAATGTAATACGGTAGCTTTATGACATTTAAGTGACAATGTTATAGTGAGTGCATTTGAATTGTGAATGCTTATGTTATAATTAATTAGTTAATTGTTGCAATTGTTAATTATTGTGAATGATATATTTATATAATTATATTTATGAATATGCTATTATATGTTATAGGGTTTTTTTTGTTTGTATCGGATGGTGAATACCCGCGTTACTGTGTGAATACCTGCGTTACTGTATACGTCGGAATAAAAGAAAAGATAGTAATTGCAGTCTGGTCTCAAAACGTACTTTGTTCTTCTGAATGGGTATTTGGTCTCATTCACCAAACCTCAGTGGTCGAATCCGGACTAAATCAATACTGAGGCTTCCCGAACCACGACATTTATAACAGCTTTGAATAATTTATTTAACAATGGTAACATATCATTTGTTACATTTGTTTTTTAACATGATTGGCCTATTCAGATATAAATTAATTTTCTTCTACAGGGTCTAGAAATAAATTGTATTTTTTTTTAAAACCACAAGTTAAATAAACTTTTAAAGCTAATAATTATAAAATATGATTATATTCAAAATATGCAACTTTATCCAGGTTCCGTAATACATAACACATAATATAATATAGCTACAAAAATGAACACTTATATATTATATAAATTAGATAGACAGTGGTCTTATTTAACAAAATATTGTTTTAATCAATATTTTTTTGACATATACCTTTGTTTCCCATCCTCCATCTCATCTGATGAACTTTGCGATTCATCATCCGGCTTCTTGTCTCCAGTAATCTGTTAAAAAACAAAAAATAAACTCATCATTGCTTTTTTCTACATGCAGATACACAGCATACTTCACAGACACATCTATTATCTTCATACTCACTTTTACAGGGTCAGAGCTAGTTCTTTCTACTGATCTTTTCACAACTGCTCCATCTATTGAGTCTTTACCCTTAGCATCCGATGCTCTTCGTCTGTGAGCTGGTAAGACAAGAAATATTTTTCACTAAAATGTTTTGAAATTTCAAAGTCAACATTAACTTCAATTCCACTCAAACTCCCAAGTTCTAATTTCATTAAATGGTATTTCATATATTTATTCCAACAAGTGCCTTGGGGCCCCAAAAGCAACAAAGTCAACATGACAAAATTCTTGAGCCCCCATTTGATTCAATTGTACTACTTACATAATGGAGCCTCATTCCCTAATTCTTGAGATTCTCTTGCTCGTCGTCTTTCCCTAGCTGTTGTATTGACTGATTTTCGCTATAAAATGAAAGCAAAAAATAAAAAGTTTCATTACATCATCCAGTAAACTAGAGAAACAACACTGTTGCTTATCTGCTGATAAGGCAATTACTACAGAGATCCGAAGCGATATCAGTCTATTGATATTCGACCATTCCAACCGCCAAGCATGCGCAGAACTAGTTATTTTTGTGGGCGTCAACAGGACCTGGCTATTGGGGAGAAGACATAAAAAACTGTAGATCTTTTTACAGCATGCGCTGTAACTCAGTTTAAGCATTCCTTAGTAAGGAAAACATTGGTATAAAGCGCAATTTACTGTTGAAAAAGTTATTGCAAACCGCATTTTTTATTATTGTGATTATTATTATTTAAGTGCCCTATCTTGAGTGCCCTATCTTGAAATCCCGGCCCCGTAACCTTGACTCAGATATACCGGGTTAGTGTCCAGCGGGGGATAGTTTTTACCATATTGTAGTTAAGTGAACATAGTTAAGGTCAATCTTGAAATTTCTGGCCCCAAAACCTTGATTCTGAAATACCAGGCTGGTGTCCGGCGGGGGATAGTTTTTTACCATAAATTAAATTAAATTAACTTAAATTAAGAATTTTAAAGCGCCTAGAGGGATCTGTGATCTGTTTAGGCGCTATATAAATACGGTATTATTATTATTATTATTTAAATCCAATTATTCAGTCAATTTCTATGTACGATCAAAGTAAAGGTATGTTTTATTTTTTCTAGAGAATCCTTTGTTAAAAACAATATTTATTGGGTTTCCTCTTCGTTTCCACAAACGGGATCTTGGTCGACAGAATAGATATTGTTTTACATTAATATGTCGATCTGATTGTGCCTGTTTTTGTTTGTTTTAAACTAAAGAAATATTGGTATGCTTATTTGTGTTTTAGATGTTCATCTTAGTGGTAACTGTACAGATGCTCCTAGAAACCAGAGCAGCCAACACTATACTGTCTGATGATGAAACTTTCACCGAAAGAAAACATGGAACGATCATCGAGGCATACAGGTTGGAACAGAAAGCAAAAGTTTAATTAAAATGTAGATTTAATGATAAAAAAAAAAAAAAAAAATTTAAAAAGAATGTAGCGGCATATCAAAATGAAATTAAACATTGTATAAATATTACCTTGATTGTTTATTTAAAATTCTGTTTTAGTTACAAATTAGTAAAAGCAATAAACAGCATCTAAT